TAAAATTTATAAGAATACTTATTTTATCAATATAGAGTTACAGAATATCACAAAGAAAATGAAAATTTTCAACCTATGACGCCATTGGTACTCTTCAAGTGTATATATTGAAAATTATATAAGTTAAAAAATAATAATATTATATTTACTACTAAGTTAATACTGTATAAAGTTTGGCGAGTATAAATCTCTATGAGAAATAAAACGATGACATTAATAAAATAAAATTATCAATCATTTACTTATGTGATGGTTCACAACATTATTATAGTTTTTATGAGGTTACTAACATAAAATTTACTCTTTTCTGATTTAACTATATAGTATTTTAGTTGTTTTAATTTTCTATCACATAATCATAAAAATTTATAATGGGTTAAAATATATATTTTCTCTGTTATATATAAATACATAATCATAAATTTACTCTTTTTCGATAATATATATTTTTGGATTTGCATAATATGTATTAGAATATGATAATTATTATATAAATTGACTTCTACTGGTTTTAAGATCCACATTAAATAGTAGTATTTACTAATTAGTATTTAAATATTTATTTTATTAATTTTTATACTATTTATCCACGTATAAACACGGGACCTATTCTATTATATATAATTTAAGTCTCGCACGGGAATAAAATTTCTTCTTACCTTTCTTGATTTCCAGTATGAACAGATGTACAAACCAATGACTCAGAGATTCTGTTTGTTTTTTTGTATTGTTTCAATTGTAATTCTTACGTCCGTGCCTACAAACATCAGCCATCAGCCATCGATTGAAATATATACAACATTAACAAACAAGGGAAAGTAAATATGTGCGTGGAAATAAAAATGAAGACACTAAGGCTAAATGGCGTGGGCTAAGCTATAAATGTAATTCTATGAAATTTGAAAAGACAATTCTCAAAATACTACTCTTTGAAGTTTGTTCTAAAAATACCATCATTAGTTTAATGTTATGTTGGAATCAGAATCGGAATCGGATACGAAAAAACGGAAGGGTATAGAAGCGTGGAAGCGATTTAAAAAAAAAAAAAATCAGGAAACGAATACGAGTTGAAG